CTTGACAGCTGACAATTGACACCATGCACTTGACAGCTGACAATTGACACCATGCACCTGACAATTGGGCACCATGCACTTGACAGCCACTGGTTCAGGTCAACAACACTAATTTCATGAATGACTTTAAATTACCTCCAAATGAAGCAAAATCTCACAGCTGGTATTGAGGACTTACAGTCCAGTTATTGTTAATTGAATCAGGACTTTCAAAGCTTTCTTAGAGTATGAAGAATGGACCACAGAACACTGACCGAGAAAATCTCTGTCAAGGGAAAAAGCTAGTACATGATGTAAATAGTCTGCTACGGATTTACTGCTGCTACCCTTGGTCCAAATCTAGGCACACCCTGTGCAATTCTTGGCAAAAAATCAAGTTAATTGATTGAATAGTGTGATACTGGCAGGTGTGACTTACAGGTGCAATTCCAAAGGTGTCATAGTGAGCCACAATAGCAATTGTTGGTAACTGATCCTCCACACCCTTGCCTGTCAGCTTACCCTGAAATCAAACAGTCCACAGACTTTGTCAGCATGAAAGCACCATTTAAAAATGATGACTTGGAGATGGTGTCCAGCTTTTCTATGAGGTTCAGACCTCTCCACACAGTGTGAAAAACATTGGGAAGCACGAACACTAGTGTTGTTTCTATGTAGTACTTTCATCTCTCTCACAGTTAACACTTTTAAGCTGGAGCTCAGATGATTTGCTTGACGGCTCGTTTTCATTTTTCAGCTGATCACCAATCCCCACATTCCCTCTAAAACTATTTTCTGAGGGAAGCAAACCTACCACACTACACAAAAAACTACACTACGTGGACATATTTTATTTTAAGATCCACACAAGGACGGTGAGGTTGCTAAGCATTCACATGCTCTAACGTCATACTCAAGATTCCAAAGCCAGATGTCTTTTCAACTGCTGTAGTTCTTCAAAAGCTCAGCTAAATCTCACAGAATCAGTACTTGAAGTATTCATTACAGTCTGTGAGGTGTAATGTTATCAGACGTAATGTCTTGCCATTTTTCTTCTTGGTATTCTGGCAAAGACTGTCGGTGATCAAGTCCCAGTACACTGTACCTGCAAACTGATGATTGGTGCATCCTTGATGGCCTTAGCCTGGGGCCCACTCACAACCATCTGAAAGCCATTGCCATACACTGCACTCAGAAGAGCTGGGAGGAGGACAAAGGCATGGTGTGTCCATTAATATATCCAAATATTTAGATTTAAGCAAACAGATTAAAAAACTAAGAAAAACGTTGAAATAAAATGACAGCAAAGGTGTCTGTAAGTCCAGATGTACAGGTACAGTCCTCTGCTGTTGTTTTATACTTGCTCTTCAACCACTTCCTGCCGGGGATTCCGGATCCGGACACGTATGCGTTATATGCGTGGCCGGGGTCTCCGAACTCGGACAAAGGGAACGGGGCCTTGTAAAAAAAGACCGTACTCGGAACAATAGACCAGGCTGCTGGGAATTACCAACATTTTTTCACTCTCAAAAGTGGAGATAATCCAGCCTTGTTTTGAAACAGTATACTATGGTTTGGGGCATTTACAGCGAGGGGATTACCATCGGGGACAAAAGCACTCCACCACTGCAGTGATGAGCCACACAGCACAGCTGCATGCTAATCTGGCCCCTATTGAAAAGAGGTCAGCAGCGCACTGAGCCAGGTTCGTAAAAATAAGAAAGTTATTTAACACCGCACAATCTGGGCTCTTTTTACAAGGCTGCAGGCCTGGCTGAAATACTCAGGTGTTAATAGATTTCTCTGTCAAGATAGAGTGGCACCAGGCAGTCCTTCGTGTGGGTGTAAGTTTCCAGTAAATGGAGAATTTTTAAAGAATTTTGAAAAAAAAAAAAAAAATTAAATATCCCGGCCCAGCATCATCAACATTGATAACTGCCCTGGCAAGAAGTGGTTAACAAGAAGGCAGACTAACAAGTGCACAAGTTGACATGAAGGGTCATTCTATAAATTTGGGGTCCAAAGTATGACATTTTTTCGTCCCTGTGACCTCTGACATGTATACCATCTGAGATGTTTGACAAGGGATGTATCACTAAAATTGATTTCAAACTATTTTCATTTGTTTGGCAGGTAATTTGTAGTCTTGGAAATTAAACAATGAGTTCTAAACATTAAAAATCAATTGCCAGACGTAACAGGGACGGGAGAAAAAATGGACCCTAGCTTACAGAGTGACCCATAAAACAGTTCTAAAATGATTCTGGCTAACCAGTTGTTCAGCACTGCTATTAACTGCTCAAAGGAAATATCTTTCCCCCAGTGCTTCTGAAAGCCTTTAAAATGTCACTTTTCAACTATGCTGAACTTTGAAGATGGGCAATTAGCCAACTGCAGTCAAAAAACAATCTTAGTTAATCTCCTAATTATTCACTAACAATCGCTTTGTATGTCTACAAAAGTTTTATACAAACTATAGAGCCCAAGAGTGCTCAACCAATGCAAAGGTACGCCTTTCCTAAAAGCTGCATATGTATTGGTACTTGAGGGTGGGGTTTTACCTTCAGCTGCTGTTCCGGCTTGGTCGGAGCTGCCAGCTTTGTTGATTTCTTCAAGAATCGCTAACAGCTTCTCATCTTCATGAGCAAAGTAAACGGGCATGGTGGTCTCTTGTTCCATCATCTGTGGTTCTAATTCAAGCCAATGCTAAATATGTCCAATAAAACACATGGAATATGAGAAGTTGGTCGGTGCTAAAAGGACCTAAGTGGAGAAAACAAACTGGTAATGAATCAAAAACTTCTGCACCAAACTTGAAATTTTGGAGGTTTTGTTCACAAAGCTTCAAACATTGTAATTAACTTTGGGCATATATGCTCATGTATAATTATCATCAGTGTGGTAATAAAGTTGGATGATTCATTCAATGATACAGTCGACTCTCGGTAATACAAGCTCGGGTAAGACAAGACTCCGGTTTAGATGAGCATATTTGCCAGTCCCGACTGAATTGTGCACATTCCTATGACAGAAAAAATGTGTAATACGAGCTTGGATGTTAAGACATTTCAGTTAAGACAAGCATTTTTTGAGCGCTGGCCGAGGGCAAATCTATTGTTATCTGTCTATTTAGCACAAGCTTTTTTGATGGCAAACTTTCACTTTTGAAAGGTGCTTTCATAATTTTCGTAATGCATGTACATGTAGAGTAGAACAGTGGTTTTTCCCTCACCGAATTGAGCCGTTTGTGTCGTGTACTGCAGGAGAGACAAACAATGGACGTTTGCGGTCTCCGTACCCAACATAGAAATTCTGTGTGGTGGCTCTGGTACCGCCTGAACACAAGCAAGTGCCGCCAAAAGTGCTATGGTATTTAGGACAGTGGTGAACAAAAGAAATCTTTTGTTTGATTCCCCCGCCTCCCAAAAATTCCCCAAGACCAAAGTCCCCCCCCAGGAAACTAATAAAAATTGTGTTCTGTAACCGAACACTCGGCCCCAAAACTTCCCACCCTCCGTCTACAAATTGTTATGAAAATTTCACCCCTTCCGATTTTGACATTTTTATAACTTCTCAAGGTCAGAAAATCATGACTAAAATCATGGTTTTCAGTCTAAAAATGTTTAAGGAAATAACAACTACAAGTTTTAAAGAAAACAGTGTATCCCTCGCTAATAATTTTTCACCAAACCCACACACCTTTCAAAAGTAAAATCCGATATTCGCCCTCTGCTGTCCAAACCACCAATAACTGGTGTCCTCACATTTTTATCTGCAACAAGCTCAGCTCTAGTGTTGGTTACCAACTAAAATGTTAATGTGCTTACTTTACGTGCATGCAAGTGGATCTCATCACGGCCTGAGGGGCCCAGGACGCGTCGCTCCAAATTGACACGACTGGTGGAAATTCCACTTCCTCCATTCTTACATTTTGTAATTATTCTTTATTTCAAGTCTTTACTCATTAAACTGTATCTCCCTTTTATAAACAAACTTTTCAAAATCAAAATCATGTAACAAACGATACAAAAAGGTTATGCATACTTGTACACATGCACACTTTACCTATGGTCGATTGGTGATACATACGTCGAGCAGGACGGCAGTTTTTGCATAAGACGAGGTCCGGATAATACGAGCTAATTTAGAAAGTCCCAAGGCCCTCATATTTATGAGAGTCGACTGTAGACAATTTCTAAATAAGCAATCATTCTGAAACTGTGCTTATAAGTTAGACTTCCAGCCATTTTTTTTAGAGTTTTGAAAAAATTGGAGGAAATGAAAACCGGCCAAATTAAAATGCATTTTTACATGTTAGTGGTAAGTAATCAATGATAGCTAAACCAACTGTGCAAGCTTCTGTCTAGCATGGTTTGGCTTCTACAAAGAGACCATACTTCATGAAAACATCTTCCAACCTTGAGCACATCCTGTGGCAAGGTACTGAGATCCTTGGGCAGCAGAATTAGCAAACCACCTGCCGACTGCTCCATCATTTCTCGGTACCCGATTGCCGTCAGATCAGCCAGTCTGGTAATGATGCATCGTCTTGTCAACACAGGTGTGTTAATAGGGCGTGCTTCCATGTTGACCAGGGCATTACGGCAACCTACAGAAAATGATAAATACGGCATGTATGATGTACGAGTGCAAACTAAGCGTTGTCCAAACCGGGGAAAGATGATATGTCTTGTATTGAGTATAGTGCTGTATGTCCATTTTGCAAGGGGGGGGGTTGGCAAAGTCAGGGCGCACGATACACGCTGCGTTGTCAAGTACCCATGTTTCAAATGTTTGAGAAATATGTACTTCAGGGAGTGAGAATATTTTGCGAAGATACGATTGTGAAGTTGTGAGACTTATAAAGTTTCTGTTTTCCATGCCATTTGGGAATTAATCTATAGCAAATTGGTCAAGCCGATATGTGAGTAGTGTGGTTCCCTGATCACAGATTTCCAAGACGTCTCTATACATAATCTTAGCAGTAGTCGGAATTATGGGGACTGGTATCCAAAGCAACAAACATTCGTTACATGAATACGCTTTGCCTGTTTTTGTCACATGACGTACAGCCACAGAGCAGTGTGCGGATCATCAAGGGACGAAAGGTAAGGACGGTAGAAAAAAACTAATTTTTTGCAAATAATATACATGTAGGTTAAATGCTACAAAATACAATCATGCTTGGTAGTTCCATGTAGGTTAGCTATTAGGTCTTTAGGGGAAGATTTGCTTAAGCAAGTGCAAATGGAGATTTCATCTGGCACTCCAACTGGGCAGCTTTCAAAATGCCATGGCGTGTGGAACCATCAAAAAGGAAGAGTGCAGTAAGGTCTACGGAGCAGTATCTAAGGCTACTTACAGTTCAAGAAGTAGGGCGGCCCAAGAATTGTCTGCTAATTCCAACAAAAGGTTTTCCAATGCTACATTTATGACAGTTGGGGTCTCTCAAACCATGTCAAACATGGCAAAATTATTCATATGAAGTGGCTATCGTTAAGGCAGTCGTAACGCATTTCTCATTTTTTATCGTTACAGCGTTGAACTGTGCAAGCGTGATGACGTAGCTGATCATCACTACGGTTATTATATTTTTCAAATACCTTGCGCTGAATGCTTGTGGCCGAGTGGTCAAGGTGGAAGGCTTGGAACCACTGGTGTGTGAGTTCAAATCCGCACTTGGACCATTTTATTTTTTTTCGCCTAACTTTCATGTTTTATACCCTAATTTTTTTATGTTGGTTTCTAATTGTATAGGCCTAAGCAGACTTTAGTCATGTTAGTTTAGCCACCATAATTAATTGCTGCAATAAATGTTGAAAAAAATGAAGAAAGGATGTTCACGACAAAGTTGTATAAAATGAAGCTTAATATTTAAATGGATTCATTGAGGAGAATATCAGTCACAACATGGAGGTACATCATGCAGGATATTTACCATAATAACTGAATGGATGCGTTACATTACAAGGTGTCGTAAATAGATATCTCATCAATGCCTACCAAATTGTGTTCCGTGCAGATCGAACTGCTGCATGCGATAGGCGCTGAATTCATGAGCTGCTTGAACGGGCGATATCATGATCAAAACCGGTACTAGAAACAACCAAGTCAGAGGCCAGCTCCCCTTAAACATATCCAGCACCTCTCCGAATTCTTCCACCCACATTTTGGCTACAAGAATGGGAAATGATTCGGTTTCGTCAAACTTGCAGATCCCGTGGGCCTAACGTGTAAGTCTCCTTGTACGTAAATTGTCACTGGTACCATGCCGATATGGGAGGATCGAAGAAATCGTGTTCTTTCGGAAACGAGCACCAGCGACATTTTGCACATGGCATTTATGTACCCAAGCATCTGCATTTATGCATAGTGCATTGTGTGATAACGTAAGTGCATAAGTGCTGGTATCGTACCCCTGGGTGGGCGGGGTTTATTTTATGGGGTAGCAGAATGTCACTCTTTTTAACAATTAGCAAGGATTTTATTTTAATTCTTTCGTCGCCTGGAATGGATAGGATTGTGACTACATGATATAAACAGCTGACTTGTAATTGACGGAAGGGTAGCCAATGTGTGATTGAGATCCTCCAAAATACTGCAGGATGGTGGAATAATGGAACCAAAAGCATCAGAAATCGTAACTGGGCAGAATATAGCACCTGTCAACTCACCATAAAGATCTTATCACAAGCGTGGAAGGCGTGTGCGTACGTTCGGGTCGGAGTCGAGGCTAGGAAACATTGTGTGGCGGCCTGGCGTACTTCACAGGGGGGGTAGTCTAAAAACTGCCCTGGTTCTGAGAGCATTGAAAACTACATACATGTACATGTACAATGAGTGTGGTCAGAGACTTGTCTTTGGTTATAGCTCCTTCTATTTTTATCATTCTAATCATCCTACTGTTATTCTAAACGTTTCTAGTGTTTGGTAATTCTACTTTTGTTACATCTCATGCAGTCTGTTGGTTCGTCTTTGTTTTGTTTTTGTCTGGCCCATAACAAGTTGCTTGTATGTTAATAATGACAGAAAAGTGATCGGGGAGGGGTTTTCCTCCTTCAAATTGATTTAAAAAAAAATACATAAATCAGCTCACCCCCACAAAGGCCGTAGATGAAGAAATTCGTCAGTCTGTCTGCCTCTTTGAGTTAAAAAAATTCCTGCCCGTATTCCCGAGTTTTAAACGCTGTACAGTACATGCGCGCACACGACGAGCATCAGTGATGAGGTAATGGGTGAATTCCCTCTGTATGATGAAATCTCGGAGCATAACATGTCATCCTAAAGAATGGGTTAATTTTCCATTCCAGGTTAGCTGATAATGACATCATCAGAGTTCGTAAGCCTTCCAAATAAAATTATATAGGGTCCTGATGTAAGAAACGTAAAAAAACGTAAGAAACGTCCTTTGGCCTTTTGGAAATCAGACGGGTTGTTTTCCTATTGGACAGATATGACGGTTGTGATTGGTCAGGTGTGTACACGTGCTCCGTACTTCTGGGGCGACCTATGACGTCAAATCACAAAGGTCACAGACATTATTTATCAACACAGCCAGTCCAATTTTCTCAGAGTTGCGGAGGAGTTTGGAGCTGTAAGTTTTACTTTCTTTCATGCCTAGTGAGGATTGTTTGTGATGTTAGATGATAGTATTTCATTTTTATTTCTCACAGGGGAAACCAGTGGCTCATACTCTATCTTGATTGGATACATTTTCCGACGCATATTTGTCCACCTGTCTCCTTGTTTAGTACAAGTTGTAACGTACATGTACATGTACGTGCATGTAACTTTTCACTGCGACTGTCCCTTCTTCCTGTTCGTTTCAATCCTCCATGTTCCAATGTACGGTGTGGCCTACATCATGGTATTGTCCCAACTATGGTGCTGCAGTTGGGCTGGCCTAACTATTGTTAACCAATGTCTGTCGAAAATTTGTCAACCTTATCCTTGTCACCAAGTTCATGCATCTCACACTTGACACAATTATGACAATACGGGCGTTTCACAATAGTTCAACTCTTTGCAGTGCGTTGGCCAATCAACATGATCACAATGCGCAAAATCTGTCAACCTAATGCACATTTGGAAAGGGTCGACAGATTTCGTGTGTTGTGATTGCCCAATGTGCTACAAACTCTTGGAGGCGCACTATAGTGGATCGCCAGAATTCATCTAAAATATGGTACTTCATATGACATAACATTATTAAACAATGTACATTGTAACTTTGGCACATGCTGGGCACATGCACACCGGACCTTTGTGCTGTATTTGCCCGGCCCAACTATAGCACTCTAGTTGGGACAGTCCCAACCATAGTTGGGACTGACGTTGTAGTTGGGGTGTAACAGTTGTTATATTCATCACACTGACATACATGAAGATTATCACGAATGATCATAGTTGGACAAGTTAGATGATTATGTTTGAATGTGTTTAGGGCCTGATTCCTCGACTGAGTTGCTAATTCAAGCATCTTTCATCTAGCAGTGGCATATGCTGGTACGTTCATCATAGTCTGGATTAGAAATATATTCAATATTAACAAATTTTCCTTAAACAAAATTGTTTACATTGTCTTGAGTCTGGTATGTCAGTGTGGAGTATTACCATAGTTGGACAGTCTATTATGTCAAAAGTCTCGCGCAATCGGACCAATCACAAGGCTTGTCCTAGCAGCCTGCGATGGATTATATAGGTGTTTCCATGTTACAGGGTGATTTTTTTTATGCACTGCAGCATATGGAACGCTAACCAAAAAAATTTGATTTGCAAAAATTTGATTGGCTGTGCAAAAACTTGACTACAGACATAAACTAAACGTTCTAGAACATGTTTGTACCAATGGGATTTAAAATTCGTAGTTGCCAACTTCAGATATTTAACGTTAAATTTGGACAAATCTTGCTGTATCAGTAGGGAAAGGTCACTATGCCCATATGCAGCCAGAAATGAGACGGCCGAATCCACACGGTCTTCCTTGTAGCACCGCTACACTGCTGCAGAACTGAGCATGCGCATTGACAAGCAGAAGTTCACAGGTACGCTGTGAAAGCATCACTTATCCGCGTACGCGTAGAACAGAACAGAACTCCCGCGAAACTTTATTGCACGTTTTCCTCTGACATGTCTGACTCACGTGTAGCACTGTGTAGCACTGGGTTTGTGC